GAGCTTCGCCTTGAGAGCACGCCGTTGAGCCTCATCAATCTCAGCTCGAGTGAAATCCCTCTCCTCCTCCTCCTCCTCCAAAACCTTCCGATATAAACAGTGGACATGTTGCGTCAACCCGTCCAATCTGCGGCAGTGGAGATCATTATCGAAATGCACTCGGAGCCTCTCGTACGCGGCCAAAGCGGAGCGAAGGCGGCGTTGATCAGGCAACAGAACGGCGCGCAATGCAGACTTCGCCCAAAAGTGGCGCTCCTGTAGAGTACGAGCAGGCCGTGAGTGAATCGACTGCCTTGCCACTCGACCAGCGTCAAAAAAGAATTCCTTAGCCAGAGAGAGTTGCCTCCAAACATTCCAATCCTCAGGGATGTCCTGGAGAAGCTTTTCGACTTCCTGTCCAAACTCTGGCGCGCCAGCAATCCAGGGGGGGATAACGGGATGCTTGGGGTCGGGGGTGAACCTCTCAATCGTGGATCGGATCGGGCTGTGGTCACTGGGCATGGCAGCACTTAACACTCCAACCGTGGATGTAGTAATCGTAAAATCCCTAAGCAGAGCAGGCGCCAGATGTATATATCCTGTCCAACCGAGCAATTTGAGAAACAGCGCGTCCCCGCAGACCCCTGCGAGTGTCCTGGGATTGAAAAAGCTCCGTAAAGTGCGCGAGCAATTTGGAAAATAACCTGGAATGACGACTATCTGCAGGACGAAAACCACTGCCATCTCCTGCAAATCCCCCCTCCTCCTCTACAACAAAATTCCAGAAGAAACCGAGAAACGTCGCGCTGCAAGCAATGAAGAACGCCAGAGAAGAAGGAGAAGGAGTCGGAAGTGTTGGGCAAATGTACATTGTATACAACCATCGTACTATGTGAACCCTTAAGCATGCTCTTGATGATCCTGCCCACAATCAACGTCCTGTGCTCAACGTCGGAGAAGAGAGATAGGAAAGAACGAGATAATGCCGTCACCACTCCACCTTCGCGAGTAGAATCAAGGAAAAAACTGCTGGCAAACGAGTGATCGGGAAATTCGCGCTCAAGTTCAGCAATGTCTCCATTGTGACCATGTGTCTCCTGTCCTGCGGTAGTGTCGTGTGTGCTGCATAAGTGCATGAATTTACGATAGCGTGCCGGAGCCCTCTTCGATTGCGACCGCACGGAAGCAAAGAGAGCGTCAGTGTTCCACGAGCAGAGGGAGAGAGCGGAGGGAGGGAGGAAGGGGAGGAGAGAGGGAGGAGAGGGGGGAACTGGCACCTCACTGTGGGTGCAGTCAGCCTCAACGCGGAAAGGGGCGGCGGATCTGGACCGCCGCCGCAGCTTGCGCCGACTCAAGAATGGGAACAATCTCAAACTCCACAAAAACGTCACGATCACACTCGCAAGACACGTGACCTGCTGAGTCCACTGCCAGCTTTACCGCCGGCGCAGGATCGTGAGGACGGCGCATGATGCACACCGCCCCTCCCAAGCCAGTGCTTCCTACAGAGAGACCTTTCGGCGCCAGCGCCTGCGTGAGAAGCGATCGAACTCGACCAAGCGAAAGAAAGAGCTGCCTCGAATTGATATCGAGGTCCCCGCGGAGACGGAGCGTGAAATGAGAGGCGGGATTGAGAGGATCCGCAGTGGACCACTCTCCACCCGAACGAGAAAAGTCGTCTAAGAACGAGCTCGCCGCATTCGCATTCTCAAACAAAAAGGTGACCTTCTTCGACAAATCGGACGCACGAATGATGATGCTCGAGTGAGACTGGGCAGGGGCGAAAGACGATCGGCACCGCTCTCCGATCTCTTTAAGATCAGCGAGCAGCAGCGGTCTCGGGAAGCCTAGAAACACAAGCTTGCAGGCGTCGTTCTGCTGGCCTTCACTGTTGCCGCCGCTGGTGGGGCGGGCGGCAGCACCCCGCCTGGGGCCATGCGAAGGCGGCCCCGATGCCGCCTGCGAGCTCGCAACCTCCTCGATCCTCTTGGAGGCAGCCGCCTGAGCGTTCTGGAGCTCCTGCAGCTGGTTGGAGATCTGGTCGCACTTGTAGTCTAAGTTGGCAGTGGCGGAGGAGACGACCTCACCCGAGCCTGTGTCCATGTACTGGTGGCTGGCGGCAAACTCCGCTCGCAACGCCTCGATCTTAGCATCTTGTTCCCGACCCGTCTGATGGAGCTGACGCTGCAGATCATCGTGACGACGACAGACGTCCTGGCCAAGGATAGTGACCTGGTCCGCCAGCTGCCCGCAGCGGTTGAGGCTGCCTTGAACCGACGCGCGCAAGTCTTAACATCTTCGTGACTATGGAGAAGCATCTGGTGCATGCTAGCAAAAGAACCTCCTATCGTTTCAAATTGCTTCGCAATGTGGCCTTCCTTTTCCTCAGGTTCCCAACGCGTACGAGCATCAGGCGTCCTGCTGGCGGAACGACGGGATGGGCTCGAAGACGACGGACCCCTGCGATTCCCACGGCGCGATGTTCCCACCATCGCGGCAGATGGTGAATAGAACAGGAGGCGCTGGTACGGTGTCGAGGGTATGACTCCAGCAAGAGCTCACAAAACAGAGGGCAGTGCAAGGCCTGGTGCGGGCTGCCTTGCAGGGCCTCAAAATTGGTCCTCAACCACCTTGAGCCAAAATGGCTTGAGCCAAACTGGCTACGGATTGGCGCCGCCACTGTCTTGGGCGCCGTATCGCGCATGCCAAAGCGTGTGTGCAGTTGGCGTCTCTCTGTTTGCGGGTGTTCGTACGGGGTCCCCACGCACCGCGCCAAGGAGGGCAAAGGGGTAGGATCGCCTCCCTGCCCATGGACGCACACGCGGCACCTCCCGCCACTCGAAATGGGCGCGGCGGGCGCGTGTACCCCGAGCGCCCGGACGGACGCACCGCCTCAATTAACTGCTGCGATCTCCTCCGTTCCCTCCTGCCCTTCCTCCTGCCCTCCTCCAGCTCCACACCCCTTCTCTCCCTCCCCTCCCTTCCCTGCCACCCTCTACACATTATGAATACTAGTCCCATCTCTCCGCTGGATCCGGCTGGAAGATCTCTGGCCCTCTCCGCGCACGGTTTTTTACAGGATTTCAGACGTGTATTGTTTAAACATGGTTTGTATCCGATTGTTGTCGGTGTTTCAAAGTTGTGCTCCCGCTTCAGCTTGGGCCTCATTCTCGGATCGGCGCTTTGATCTCATTTTTTTAATATGTTGTTCTTTGTTGCTGATTTTTTCCTCTTTCAGAATTTGGGAGCCTGCAAGGGGGGCCACCCCCAATTCGGCATGTCCACAGGTTGTTGGGTGGTCCGATCCTTGCCGCGCAACTCGACCACATCGGGGAGGCAATGCCTGGCACCCATGAGTGGCCCAATGGCCACGGGATCGCGGTACGCGGGTGAGCGGAGCCAGCGCGAAGCAGGCCCCTCCTAGCAGCACCGCGCGCCAGGCCGCGCCCTAGGCGGCGTCGGCGCAGTGGCCGCACGATCGCGGTACAAGGGTCGGCAGAGCCGTCGCGGCGCCAACGTGCCAGGCCATGCCCCAGTCGGCGGCGGCGCAGTGGCCGAGAGAGGAACTCCTGAAAGGATCGCGGCCGTACGTCGCCGAGGGCTGTCGGGCCGTTGCACGGAGTATATTTCCAAGGCCATTTATAGCGCGTTTCCAGGGCGTCTGGGCGGGTGGGTCTCGGGGGGGGTCTCGCAGGTGCCCCAGCGCACGGGAGCGACGAAGCTCCAAAACTGAGGAGCTACCCCAAACCAAATGTCGTTGCCCCCCCGCAGAATTCGCGAATGTATCGAACCAAGCGGGGGGAACAAATGTCAATCTGGGTTGGCGCACCGAATGGGGCGCACCAAATTGGCGCCTGGTCCCCCCCGCCCGCTCGAGACATCCCGCCAATTCGTGGTGAGACCTAAAGCCGGTCCAATAAACAATGATCCGCTACTTTGCCTCGGCGACGCCGGCCCGGCCAAATGGCGGCAGCCCCTTGTGAGCTCAGAATCAGGAGAGCCCTTTAGAGGGCAGAACATCCACCCCGATACTAACCACCCCGACACGCGAAGCCGTTTAGCAAATGCACCCAAAGAAATAATCAAAGAAAGCACGGCTGTTTCGTAAACTCCCAGGGCCTACAGTAAACGTCAATCGTCTGGTCCGGATGGTTCTTCCTCCCTTGACCATCACGCAATCATTTTCAGCAGGGCCCATGGTGCCGCGGCCAGCGCTCGAATGAAGAATCGCGCATGCACTGAACGTCACCTCACCTCTCCTCTCTCTCGGTTTTCAGCGCCGTCCAGCCGTCCTTCCTTCTAGGTCCCCGCATGCCCCCCTCTCTCTCGATGACAGTGCAGTGGTGCGCTCCTTCAAGATGCCAGGACACCTGCTGGGTTGGGGGTGGTCTCCCCTTGCAGTCTTCCAAAGAATCGCGCTGTCGCCAAGGCGCGGCCCACTTTTCTGGGTCCAAATCCTTTTTCATCGTTGTCGCTCTTCTCATTTCCTTTCTTCCGCCTTCCCCTGGTCCTCCTGCTCTTCCCATTCCTTCCACTCCACTCTCTGCTTCTGCTGCTGATGCTCCTTACCTTCCTCCTCGCCCCTCGCCCTCCACCTTGTCCTCCTGCTCGTCCTCCTGCTCCCCCGCCACCTCCTCCTCACATGTACGCTGTACGCAGCTCCCATTTTGAGATTGCGCATGCAACATGATGGGGTCCTCTCTGTTGGCGCTCAAGGTCGGCTATGACACGCGTCCGCGGATAGGGACACATCTGCGCGGTAGAAGGGATGGGAGGGAGGGGGGAGGAGGAGAGATTGGGGGGAGGAGGAGGAGGAGGAGGACGAGGACGAGGAGGAGGAGGAGGAGGAGAAGGAGGCGGAGGAGGAGGCGGAGGAGGAGGAAGAGGAGGAGGAGGGGCGGTGGGAAGGGATGGGAGGGATGGGACAGGAGGCCAGATCTGGCGCGAGCGCACCTGGCCTGCCCTCTTCCCCTCGCCCTCCCCCTCTCGCGGAACAGGGGGCGGCAGCCCGCTCGGGCTAGACGTCCACCGCGCTCCAGGAGAACAGCGAATGTGCCTGTGGAGGTCTCTGCTGCACGCCGCCGTCCGTCCGCCCCCCCCTCGTCCTCCTCATCGCCGTCGCCTGTCCTCCTTGCGAGGCGGGGCTTTATCCATATCCACCGCCTGGGAACCGACGTCCTGGTGCCCCAGCGAGCGGTGCATATGGATATATTTTGGCCCCTGGGGGCCCGAACATGTTCATATCCACCGCCTGCCGAGGTCCCCGAAAGATCCTCCAGGCGGTTGTCATGTATAAATTCCCGCCTCGGACTCCTCCCCTTCCGCCAGGAAAGGCAAGCTCTTGGCGATAGTCTTCGTTGTCCCCGTTTCTGTCGCAGTTCGCTGCGCAGTGAAACCAGGGACCGTTGACCTCGCGAACGCGAACTCCCTGGAACTGAACGTCTGACTTCGGCGCTACGGCGCCCCCGCCGTGCTCCTGGAAGGGGCCGCCCTCCGTGACGTTCCCGGCGCTCGCCTCGCCTCGCCTCGCCTTCCCTGGCGGCGCGCGGAGGGGGGTCGGGGGAGGGGGATGGCCTCTTAGAAGGAGGCTGCTTCTCAAAGGCGCCAGCCTTACGTCTACAAAGAAGGCCCGCGCCTTCCAAAAAGCCAGGGTGCTTCTGAGAAGCCTACCCCCCTCCCCCTACCCCCCTCTGCGCGTGGCCGAGAGGAGGAGGAGGCGGAGGAGGAGGAGGAGGAGGAGGAGGAGGAGGCGCCCCCCCCTCTGCGCATGGCCGACTTCGGCCCACTTTCTCGGGCTGCTGGCACGTGCCTGGACTTCCCCCCGAGGTCTCCGAATTGGGCTCCCCTCCGGCCCGGTCGGCCTCTCGGGCCCGCGGTTGGGCCCCAGAGAATCGCCAGGCACGGTGGCGGGGCAGGCCGCAGGGCGGCCCCCCTCGAGGCCCCCAAAAGGGCCTCCAAGAGGCTCCAAAACGGCCCCCAAGAGGGCCTCAGCACTGCCTCCAAGAGGCCCCCCAGGAGGCCTCCCACGAGGTTCCAACGAGTGCCCATTACGCTTACGACCCACAAACCAAGCACGGTGGCGGGACTTGCCGTAGGCAGCTGGATATATGTCTTGTGTGGAGCAAAGCGCAGGGCGGCATCGCAAGGTTGACGCTCGACCGCGACTGCGCCGACAGCAACGTGACCGACGCCGCTGACCACACCCAGCGAGGCCGCGGCACCGTCACGCGCCGACACCATCAACGAGTAAAGATACGCATCGCGCATTTAGGTTACCAGTCTTGCGTCTATGCGCAGAACTATTTTCCCCGCTGCGGTGTTATGCTCACTCTGTCTCGCCTCTCTTCCTCGTTGGTCAGGGTGCGCGACGCGATGAGACTTTTTCCAAGGGACTCTTGCAGAATATGCAAGGTGCAATAATATGCTGTACGCAAGACGACTCGGGAACCCCAACACTCCGCATGGCAACCCTGCACATAATCACGCTGTGCACGAAAAGGTTCTAGCCTGGCACTGAGACTGCAAACGCAACGAATCATCCGAAACGGCGCGGCAATACTGGCCGGCAGCGCCCACCGATGCCGACGCGGGCGAGAATCGAGTACAGTGGCGCCCGAGGGAACAGACGGCGTGTCCCAGAGAAAGCAGCGATGCTTCTGCGCTTGGGGATTTCGGGGCGCCGTTCGATCCCGCGCGGGGAGACGCCGTGGAGTCGCGTCCGTTCAGAACTAGACCGCCCACGTGAGCGTTTTCTTATTCGACGTTTCGACATTGGGCGGATGGGAAAAAAGGAGGGGGGGGTCTGGCTCCCGACCTCTGCTCAGTGCAACTGTGTGCAACCGTGCGCCCTATGGGGAAGGCTCCACCTGCCCGAAACAGGCTCCGAAAACAGACAAGACCTATTCCATGGGGGGGATGACAGGGGGGCGTGCGAGGGCCCGCGCCGATCGGTAAAACAATGCATAAGGAAACGATCGCCATGTCGACGTTGGCAACAATGCTGGGTATTGGCGGGCAGCATGCCGGGCCTCGGCTGCGCCTCGGCAAGCGCCTCTGCCACAAGGGGACCCAGGGCGGAGGGCAAACCTCCTGCAGCATGGGTCCCAGGGGAACCTTGGTGGCCACGATGGTGCATGCACGAGCCCGCGTCACGACGGGCCCGAATCCTGTCCAGCACCTATGGGCACCTGGTCGCGAGCGCGGCAGACGGAGCCTTGTGTGCAGCATCGAAGACACAGCAATGTAACTCCACCTTCACAGCAGAGGGCAGCGCGACAGTGCGGGCATCAAACTGAGCCGCCACAACGATGCCGCCTCTGGCGGCCACCACTGCCCAGTCGCGTGCGCGATCATAGCGGATGAACCAGACGCGTGCGCAGCAGCCGTACAGAGAGCCGCACATCTGATGAGGAGGTTCTCTCTGTCCAGCATCTTGGAGTCCTTGGGCGACAGTCTGCGAGCTCCCCATTCTTGCCCAGCCCTGCGCAGCACCTTCAGCATCGAGGCGCGCCGCGAGGAATGCCGCGAGCCTCTGGGCGGCGCCGCAACCACCGCCACAATGGTCCTGCACTTGGTCAACTCGATCCAACTACTCACATTAGCAGCGTCCTCAAAAGACCCAACAACAGTTATCACTTGAACAATCCACATACGCAAAGGTCACATTGACTGGATTGCACTTAGGGCGCCGGCAAAATCATCCTTTCCAGGCGGGCCCATGGGCACGATAGCAACATATACTCACTGCAGGCGGTGGCGCCATCTGGAAAGCCATGGCTGATGTGGTAGAGCAGACCTGGGCAGCTGGCGGCATCGCCCGCACGTCGCCAGCCCTCGGGAAGCGCATGGCATCTCCTGACACCGCCGCATCCAGGGCTGCATCTGGAGCATGCCCAGCAGCTCCACGCTCTCGTCCACGTATCAGTTCTTGCTCACGTAGCTCCATCGGCACCGCCAAGCCTAAGGGTACATCAGTGTCGACCAGAATTTGCAGACAACCTGAGCCAAGCCGCCTCAAGTGCTTGATGAGCCCAGGACGTGCGTGGAAATCCGTGCCGCAAGCCTGACACTGGGAACCTCTCGCGCGCTGTTGGGCCGGGTCAATGAGCTGATGCGCCCGCCGCCAATGTCCTCTGTACCATGCTGGCGTGGAGAACGACTTCCCGCGCTCATGGCAAGGGTCGGCGATGTCGCTCTGCGCGGAACCGCCAGCTTGTAGGTCATGCCTGCCCAACAGGTCCTGGACTTCCTTGGTCGTCCACGCGTCCCCCATCTCCTGCCTGGTGCACCATGCATACCTCCTCCACCGAGCTAGCTTCAACGCGCCGCGAGAATTGCCCTGCTCCCGTCTGGCAAATCTCGCCCGCGCCTGAAAAACCTTCATAGTGTTGCTGGTCCTCGTCGCATCCAGCATCTGCAAATTTACGCAGCCATTCGACGCCATGCTGTATCAGGTGCGCCCAGATGGCATCAATTCCAACCGTCAAATCGAGCGGCCGCTTCAGCACAGGCGGCCCATGCAGCAGTGGCCTCCCGAAGTATCTGACACTGCGAAACCTGAGCGCGTCCCTGAAACCACCTCGTGAAACTTCGAAAAGTACCTGATCGTCCGTCTTCCTGGCCAGCGTCGCGGGGGAGTGGGGCGACTTCGAGGCCGCGCGGTGCCAAGGAGCAAGCGCGCGCTGCAGTTTTGCCTTCGTAGCCTTAGATCTGGCGCCCCAGCGCTCGGCCTGGAAGAAAACATGCGTGCCGGCCAACGCGTCGACATACCTAACCTTGCGTGCAACGGAAACCTGATGCCTGAAAAGCCGCAGCCCTCAAGGGGCGCGCAGCTGCCGCATGCTTGCCCATTATCATTGCGACTTCGGGTCCTTCCACGCCGTTGCGCGTCAGGATGGTTCCCACATGATTGCACTTTTCCCGATGCAGATCCGATCGTGGCCATCCACATCAAGCCCGATTGCAATTTTATTCGCGAGCTTCCTCCTGGCTGCTGCGCTGCCAGGCCCGAAGGGGCAATATAGAACAGTTGACTTACCACGCGCAAAATTCATTCTGAACCCCGAATCAGCCATGTGTTTGCGAACGATCCTCCCGACCTTCACAGCACGCGTGGCGTATCAACTGCGTGGCGTGGCGCGCGTGCACCTGAGTCATCAATAGAGGTCGCGTCAGGGAGACAACATGCGGAGGATCCAGTAACCCTTGGCTGAGCACTTGGGCGCCCTCGTACTGCGTTATGTCAAATGCCATGCCTTCCGCCAGAAGCTCCTCTCGCATGCCTCGGAGTGGTCTGGCATATACTATATTGAACATACAATCTGCCAGGGGATGTGTGGCACGCTGTGTGGGTTGATACCCTCATCGGCAAGCAGAAGTATTTTGAAGACCATTTCCAACAAAAGCAGTTCGACAGCAGGCGCCTCGTCAATGATCTTGCCGACATACTGGTCAATCAAGGTATGCCCGCTTGACGTAATGTCATATAGAGAGCAAGTGCGATATCAACTAACATGATTTCCGCCGTGCAATTGTGCTTGTTCGCTAGACTCCTGAAATTATCGCCATCTGCGCCGCCATTCCTGCGCGCCTGCCTTTGGTGCTACCTGCCTGGGAGGGTTCCAGCCATTATCAAAGCGCTTGGCTAGAGCCGCCCGCAGGAAAAGCATGCTGATGTTCAACGACCTCCGAGTTGAGCGTGGTGGATCGATGCCCCTTTGCCGCCGGCGGGCCGAGACCACCTCCGTGAAACCCACGCGAGACAGACGCTTTGTGGACTGCAGCCTCCGGCAGCCTGAGCGTGGACTTCGTCATGAGGGCATGTAGGTGGGGGGCGATGAGATCGGGAGCGGCCATGAGCATAGCAGTCTGAACGCCATCAGGACCTGGCTCCTTCAGAGCCTTTGACGACCGAGTGCGTGATAGCAACCGTGAAGGTGACGGAGTGGCCGACAGGTCCAAGGGTGCAGATGACATGTCGGCAACTGCCCTCTGGTTGTACACGTCTGCTAAGGCCTGCGGTGAGGCCGCGATGTCGCCCTCGAGGTCCGCAAAG